CACACACTGGCCCAGCTAACCAATCACAGCACATTTCATATTTCAGAAGGCAAATTTGTATTTATTTGATACAGGAACTATTCGAGCCGTTCATGCCAGACTGGGGAGAGAGGTGTTGTAATAATGTAAAATATGTGAAAAATAATGTGTTTTTCGAACATCCTAGTATGAGAGCCTGTTCTAGTACACCCCCAAAACAAAATCAAGACTTTTTAAAAGAGCATAATAGGACCCCTTTAAATGCCAGACAGCAGCTGGTCTCTGCAGACATAAGGTGGTGATTCTGGTGTCGTGGGGTTTAAACCTGTCTGCAGATGTGACTGAAATTGTGGGTAGCTGGGCGCCTTATTTTTATCTGCATAGAAGAGATTCTGTTACGTCAAGCCTGTTTAAACTTCTGATCCTAATTATTATGTGAAGGCAGCCAGTAAGGGATGTGTAAACCTATATAAATTCTAAATCACTGGGTATAATTTAGCTGGCTTAGCGTCATGTCTGCCAGCCACCAATCAGAGATGTTTCCTATTGATATTTGAACTAAAAACATTTAAAAGCAAAGAAAAATCTACTTGCTGACCTCCCTTACTGATCAGTTGGTTGTTGGACTAGTTGACCCTCCTCACTCATCCTTCGTACATACTAGGAATGCATGATTATATTGGTTACAATTCATAAAAAAGGTATCGATAGATATCAGATATATATCAGCCAATATTAGAAATTTACATTTTTACATTTTTTATATAACTTATGCCATCCAAAGCTAAACTTAAAAACATTATACTTTTTATTAATGGCAATTTAGTAACATTTTAAATGTTCTGTTTAGCAAATTTCATGATGAATATTCAGTTTCATACTGTATGTACATATGTATGTTCACTAATGGCATTAAAACTGTTTATTTTAGTAGTATTTTAATTTAATAATGTTTTATTTTGAATTTATTTAGATAAAATAGTGAATAATTTTAATATTGGCCATTTACTGACCATAACATGAAAATAATTATTGGATTATTAGTATTAACACGATTTTAATATCAGATTTTAAAATCATTGTATATATCACACCGATGTGTTTTGTGAACACATTTTTAGAAAGTATTTTATATGGATGTTCATTGGGATAATATAGGAGTGAGAATGGTTTGCAGGAGGGTGAAGGGGGTCTGTCTGTAAGAGGTTGAAAGTTTTTACGAGAGACTGTAGTTGTAATCATAGTAATTATTGTAAAGAAAACAGGGAGACATGAAAGGACAAGGTCTTTCTCAACACCATATTAGAGAAAATGTAGCATTGACTCATAATTTCTGGTCTCACAGAAAACAGTCCTCACTCACAATTACTGCTGGAAGGAGGTTTTTATGTTGTTGGTTTTGGGAGTTGAAATCTTTTGACTGGTTTGGTTGGTTCTGGGCAGCGTCCCACCATCTGAGTAAGCGTTTGCCACATCTGACCCCCCTTTCTCTTGGCAGAGCGTCTCAGAAGCATTCCTGCTCAGACCTCACTGCTTTCCATCCCAACTTAGAAAAAGAAGACTGATTGTGTGTCAGTTGCTGGGAATTGACTGGGTTTTCTACTCGCGCTTGTTTACGAAATAAAATGTTGATAAATAATTTGTTCACTCATTTTATTTCTGTAGATTGTTCTTTTTTCCAAACACTTATAACCAAATATTCTCTACTGGGGTGTAAAAGTTTAGTGTTGGGTCCTAACCAAGTGTGATTCATGTTTGTCATTTATTGTTAGGATACATAAACACCTTGGACAATCCTTTATGGCTTATCACTTTATCATGTTAAATATGGTTTGGATACTGCAAATAACGTGGAATATGGGGGAGGGGGCTATCTGTGATGG